AACCGGAAGGGTAAAAATGACGGTTATTTTCGTCAGTTACGGCTCGTTAGCTCTAGCTTTTTGCCCGCTTCAAATCAGATACAGAGATGAAATAGTGCGGTAAGACCAGATTTATTTGAATGAATTATCAATCGAGAGAGATGACAGTTGTGTGTGTGAATTACCTGCATCTGTGCATCTCTCTCAACAAACTATGAAGCTGTTTAGTTACTTCAATTTTACCTCGTTGCTGAGGAAGATAATGAAGCGATCTAGTATCCATGTTATTTTATTAATAAAAGTTATACGTTTCTGTGTGTGCGCAGTGCGATCGGCAATCTCCGACCTCTCTTCCTCTCACTGTGTTTATGTGCGAGTGGTGTGTGTGCATCAATTAAAGAAGCGCATTAATATAGGACGGCGATATAGAACTGGCTTAGAACTTCATGGAATGAATTAAAGTAAAATACTATGAGCACAGCAGTGCATAGTATACCTGTTGTTGCACAATGTTTACTTTAAGAGTACATGTTATGTTTAATTTAAATGTAAAAATTTTTATTTTAATGTAAGACTATGTTTTATTTATTTTAAATTTAACAGTAATTTATAGGGATGCTCCGATCCGGATTTTTGCAGCCGATACTGAGTACTGATTTCTTGTCATGGTGATCGGCCGATACCGATGCCGATTCTGATGCTTCAAGCTTTATATAGACGTTTCATCAGGTGCACGCGCCTGGCCCGAAGTTAACTTCCGGTCTGCGTTTGTTTATCAGTCTGGCTATGGCGCCGGCTACAAACGCAGTTAAAGTTAAGGCGATGAGTAGACTGAAGCTGGGCTCAGGTGGTTGTGCTGTGGGATGTGTTCCCATACATTTATTTATTTGTGGCGCTCGCCACAATATCAAAACTGATTTTTCAAAAGGCTTCGTTGAATAAACATGAGCACGTACTGCACATTTAAAAATCAAAACGAGGCGCGGGTTTTTTTATATCACTGTATTTCTGAAGGAAGACTATCTTTAGAAAATTTTCGATGTCATTTTCATTTAATCTTTCATGGTATATGCCTGATAAAGCAGCGTTTGTGAGCTCAGCCCTGCTTTGTGTACAGCTGTTACCGGGGAAACCTCTATTTCTCCCACTTTAAAATGCATTCTGATTATTTGCGGTTGAATAAAATAAATGATGCAAATATTAATGACATTTTTTTCATGAGGCTGACGATTTCGTGCACGTGTGTGTGTGTGTGTGTGTGTGTGTGTGTTCGTTCGCCTGATCGGGAAGTGGCAGTGAAAGAAACGGTGACATTCCAGATAAAGTTTGAAAGGAGTAAAGCCTGTGATAATGCTATTGAGCAGGCTAATATGGCCAAAGATATTTTGTTTTATAAATAAACGTTCATTTAAAAGCAGCCCACGATCAGCGATACGGCTCAGACGAGGTTTTGTTCCGTCCTCCACGCTGTGCCAACTCACAAAAGAGAGAAACATGCCGCGGCTGCAGTATAAACACAAGCACTGACTAGAGCGGCCGCGATCAGCTTTGGTTCCCGTGGAGCCGTAATGCGCCGCAGACGTGTGCAGTGAGGCGCAGATCAGCTCTAACGTCAATGAATCTGCTGTTAAATATGAACCATCCATTCATCATGCAAAACATACACGACAAATAGCGAATTTTTCTTTTTTTCTCGAAACGTCATAGCATTTCCACACCGGCGATGACATGACCGTGGCTTAAAATCATTTACATCCCCACGCATCATGTACGTGGTCAGTTGACGTCATCAAATTGCGATCAGTTCGTGAGATCAGTTCAGTACCGATCGAGTCATGAAATGTGATTATCGGCCGATACCGATTTCTGGCCGATCGATCGGAGCATCCCTAGTAATTTACTTTCAAATGCCCCAATTGCTGAATGGTCTACACAGCTTTTTTGTACAAGTTTAAGTTTAAGCACTGTTCAAAATACCTGTAGTAGCACAGCAGTGCATACCTGTTTACATTTAATTAAGGTGGACTAGACTAGACTGTAATACAAATAGTTGAGTTTGCCAGGTGCATACAACATTTATGACAGGTTTTCATGAAAGTGTTGGTCAGTTTGTCTGCTTGACAATCCCATTTTGCACGACAACAATAAAATTGAAGAGAGATAAACAAACTGAAAAATGTTTATTTTTAGTTAAAACAGATGTTGTCAAAGTTTTCCTTTGGTGACTTAATTTGAAGTTGGAAAAAGGTAATAAATTGCAATATATCGCAGAATATCGCAATATATTTAAAAATGCAACAATATTGTATCGTGGCACAAGTATCGTGATAATATCGTATCGTGGGGCCTCTGGTGATCCCCACCCCTAATTAAAATGTGCTGCAGCAGTCAAAGACTTCTGTCTAGATTGCAGTTAAAAAGATAATTAACAAAACAAGGATCCAAAGATACAAACTTTTAACACTCACACTCATTCATAGTAATAATGCAATTAAGTTGCTAAAGGCACAGATAAAGTATTAAGACTAAAAAAAGAAAACAGATAACACTGCAAACAGATTTATGACTTGACTGGTAATTAGGCCTGCAGCAGTATCCAACCAAACGGATACAGGGCTTTCAGTAGGAGACACATAAATATCTTTGTATGCATCAAATAAAACAGAGGAGGGAGGTGTCGCTTTTCCAAACTTTCAATTTTATAATTAGTCAGCACGGGAGAAGCACTTGGTCAGCTGGTATAATGAAAGGACTGATTCTATGTGGCTTAACATGGAAGCAATGGTTTGTGCTCCCTTCCAATAAAATTTCTGCCTTTCATTATAAATATAAAAAAAATTAAAATGCATTTTAACAAACTTTATTATTTCAACACTCTTTTGGCATGGAGAGATGTCATAACTTATCTTACAATTCCAGCCAATCCTTCCTTGTTGTCTCCTATTGCTTTTAACCCTGCCTTTCCTGTTTCTCTGCATAATATAGGTCTTAATTCGGGGATCTCAAAAATAGGTAATACATTGAAATCTACCAATATAACATACCACAATCTCATTTTTCCAAATATCTTCAACTGCGTCGTTTTATAAAACCTTTTTCTGATAATGGCAAACAAAGATTTGAACTTACTGGCATTGAACAGATTGTGACAAACAGTTTTTCCAAGGGGTTAATTTCTGTTGTATATGATGCTCTGTCTGACACATGTACAGAACTTGAAGAGTGTTTGGGAAAAGGATTTAGCTTATGGAATTGATAATGCAGATTGGTCTGCCATATGGAACAATTTGTATTTTAAGTGTACTTAATTGGGGGTTCACGAACTTAACTATAAATCCATTAATATAATCTATTCTCACACCATTACGTCTGAAGAAAATGTACAGAAAATCTTCTGGTCTCTGTTTTAATTGTAGAAAATAGCAAAGGAACATTTCTTCACTGCTTTTGGTATTGTGATAAAATCATCTCTTTTTGGACCAAAATACATAACATTTTACAAGAGCTGCTTAAATTGCAATTCTGCTTCTCTTTGGAATTGTATCTGTTATCTCTCAGAGTGGAGACGATATTTGACTCTCATGCTAAACACTTGTTTTTAATTCTGGTCTATTTGGCAAAGAAATGTATATTGTGATCATCCCCTCAGGTGCCTTCTTTCAAAATGTGGAGGTCTCAAATATCTGCATTACTCCCACTTGAGAAACTCACTTATGATACACATCAAACGTCTAACGACTTTTGGCAGATATGGACATTATGCCATTATGTTTATAACCTCTCCTGATTCCCTATTCTACTGTGTATAATTACTTTAGTCATAACTGTATTATTATTATTTTTTAATCCCTATTGTATGTTTGAGGCTGTATTTGTATGTTTCTGGACATTGGAGTAAACGGCCCAAGTTCAAAATAGTTTGTTCAGTAATGCGAGTATTCTCAGTTATACAGAAGCCATGAAGAAACAGAAATCTACACTGATAATGTCGAAGATTTACTGCAGTTATTATTCTGGTATATTAATAGTTTTTCAGTCATTTTGAAGTCATGTGCAAATGAGCGCCTTCACAGTAAGAACTGCTGCAACTGATGCTTTGTTCTCCCTGTTGTACAAAAATTCCACCAAACCATGAATTTTGTACCCCGCCGCAGCCCTACAGTTAACACATATGAAGTGAAAGAATCACAGACCTTCCCAAAGGAGCCTTGTCCCAAAACCTTGAGCAGCTCAAACTGGCTGGGCTCGGCCTTCTCACAGCCCTCCTTCACATGATGAGTGATGGGAATCTCTTTATAAGCGCCCTCGTCCTGCACACACAACACAAACACACACATACATCATGACAAGTTCTGGAGGACAGTTTTCAAAATGCAAAACAAAACTATATTACTTCCAACATCTGCTTCATTTCAAGTGCGTGATGCTGCATGACTCTGCTGACGGACACCAGTTTGTGTTTATTATTTCATCAGAAATAAAATGGTTTTATTAACAAATCTTACATGTAATTCCTACTAGTTACTATTACCTTTATTCAGTATATCATTCAAAAACTCGTAACCATTTCATCAAAGCTTGTGGTAAGTGGAAATGGGTTTTTAATGGCTGATGCAGATATATCTGAGAGCAGAGCGGCCGATATACATACAGTTTTAATATTTTGTTAAATAATGCAAATACATTTTTAACTGTAGCTTAAGTTTCCAAATACATTTGGGGTATATGATATATCAAAATTCAACTTAAAGATAGACACTAATACTGTGAGTCAGAGAAATTAATTCTGATGAGAAACTCTTCTTTGCCATTTCCAGAAACACTTTCTTATTTTAATGGCTGATGCAGATATATTTGAGAGCAGAGCGGCCGATATACATACAGTTTTAATATTTTGTTAAATAATGCAAATACATTTTTAACTGTAGCTTAAGTTTCCAAATACATTTGGGGTATATGATATATCAAAATTCAACTTAAAGATAGACACTAATACTGTGAGTCAGAGAAATTAATTCTGATGAGAAACTCTTCTTTGCAATTTCCAGAAACACTTTCTTAAAAAAAAAAAAAAAAAGAAATTCTGTCATACTGGGTTGGGTGTTGTTATATCAAATTGTGAACATCATATCATATTTCAACCCATAACCTGAGATAAACAAATCGTCCCAGCTCTAAATATAAAAATGCATTTCACCGCAGTTTTCACTGTATGATTTAAATATAGTTTAATCATTGTTAAAACCACAAAAGTTATTTGGTTAAGGGCAGTAATTGACTGTCTTTAGTTGCTGGAGTTACCTCACTGACAACAGACAGCAGCAGGTGTATTAAGCTGCTGTCACTTTAAGACAGAATGCTCAAATCCAATACGATACAGATCTGAGCTCCTTCTCAACTGGTTACGCTCAGATACATAACTGTCACGGTTTACATGAATACTCACAAAGACGGGCATTTTCACATAATTCTGTGTGTATTTGCTGAAGAATATGTCACTGTCTGAGAGCAGATTTTAACTGTGCACGAGTACCGAGTTCTCTTTGCATCCTCTTGCACTTAAATGGCTTAAAATCACTTGAGTGTTTATACGGATACCTGCAAATTATAAACATTTGGGAGGACGATGGGCATTAAAAAACCCAGATGTTGAAACCCTGATCTCCAGTCAGGAATCATGGAGCTGTTCTGAGAGACTGACAGATACTCACACAGTGTGTGTAGGACTCCTCCTCCATCGGCTCATCCATCATCTGATGCCCATTCATCTGAAACACACACACAAAGAACAAACACATCAAGCTTTTCACAGTACAGCAGCATCAGACATCCTTAGCTCCTACTAACAATTATTTTTTCAATGAGGTTTTTTTTCTCGATTAGTCAATACATTTTTCACATTTTTATTCATTCAAATATTATAATACTTGATAAAAAAAAAAATCGCAACACAGAACAAAAATATATAAAATTCAGCTCAACAATGGCTAATGCGGATTATAATTGAAAAAACACTACATTTTTCTTATGGAAAATAAAATAAAACAAAACAAAGCTTTTTGTCTTTAACATTTCTGTCTAATAATTTATTAGACACTACAGTAATTATTAAACACAGCTGTAAATAAAGACAGTAAGCTGGGAGGCGCATGACAACAACAAATAGAAAGATTTGCCCTAATGGCGTTCTTGATGCTGTCAAAATAAAAGTCCCAAAAAATGTTAAAAAAAAGTCCCACTTAACGGTCAAACAAAAAACCTCACTGGACGATGCCAATAATTAAAAAAAAAAAAAGGCAAATATCAGCCAATATACTAATAAATGTCAGGCAATATACTGGTTGACCACTAATACTAATGATAGTTATTTTTGCTGGAAATCCAAGTTTTTACAATACCAAAATTTTTGATTAATTTCACAACTGTTGATACATAAATAAACATATGTAAAAAGTTCTCAAGCATACTGGAGAGAAGTAAACAATATAAGTAAGCAATAGGACAAATGAATACAAGAGAACAAATACACAAATTAACAGGGCTTTACGTTTTTCAGGCTGGTCTCTCTACAACAGAAACAGGTTTCACATCCACACTGAATCACTGGAATAAACTAAATTCACCTTTCCTGCGCACGTAAAACCTCATAAACGCTCACTGCGATAAGACAGACTGAACAGACATAATAAATTAAATAATAATAATAATAATAATAATAAATTAAAGCATTCGAGCGCAAGACGGCAAGACAGCTTATAGATTTAAAGAATTAGTTCACCCAAAAACACATACACACACAATATATATATATGTGTGTGTGTGTGTGTGTGTATATGTATGGCGATAATACCGCATACCGCGCTATTGAGCCACTCAAAATTACCGCAAGGGAAATTCCCTCACCGCGACAGCCCTACGTAGCAGTCAAAAAACGGTACAAATCAATTCGGCCCAAAATACCGTCCCGGCTAATACGGGACGGTTGGCAACCCTACTAAAAGTCTGTTTATGCCTGAAATGACACTTACATGCAAAATTATGTTGCAATGCATGTCTCTGCAAGTATCCTTGTAAACACGGATGCTTATGGCTCAGGTGAAGGTAGACGGATGTGTAACAGGTTATTGGTCCACAGCAGTTTAATGTTCCTGTTGCTTTCTGTGTCATTAATGTTAGACAACAAAACCGTGAGATAAAGGGTTTTGGTAGAGAGAACATGTTGGAGTATCTTCAAGTATTAAAGGGTCATGAAACCCCCCGTTTCAGCACTGGTTAGTTCTCTTTTAGTTTGACAATCTCCATTAAAGAACCTTTAAAATTATGTATGAATTCTCTCATTTACCAAAAAATGACTGAGCTATTTTCAGAAAAAGTCCATTTTGAGAAAAATCGAGTTAGAGTTTTCTGAGGTTCCAAAGCAAAATAATAATAACGCAAAATAATACTAAGATCAAATATAGGCTAATATAAAAAAGATAAATAGTGCATTACTTTTTTCATCTACCATCTGAACAGAAGCATTCAAGTAAGAAAAACAAATAATCAAATGTAAAAATCCCTTTAGTGTGTTTATTACAAATAAACTGATTACTGAAACTACAAAAGCAGTTTAATCAAGAGCAGCGAGTGATTCCTTCTTTTCTTTTATGGTTAGATTATCATTAATGCGACAGACGGTCTCTATATAGAGAGCTACTGTAATGCACAGATCTAATATAATGTCACACATCTAGGTTTGTTTTTTTTTCGATACCGGTGCCAAATCAATACTTTTAAAATGGTCCGGTGCCTAAACCGATACTTATTAAAAAATAAATAAATCAATAAATTTAAAAATTCCCCCCAAAAAATGATGGATTGGCCATTAGCACTATAAA